GGAGGGCAGGAGGGCAGGAGGGCAGCTCCCAAACCACAGGGAGGGGGGGCAGCGCCCAAGCCCAAGCCCAAGCCACAGGGGTGGAGGGGGGGGAGGGGCAGGGCCACAGGGAAGGGGCAGAGCACAAGCTGCCGAAGAGGCAGAACACGAGCTGCCAGGAGGTAGGGAGCTGTAGCTCCCTAGCTGGACAGAAGAGAAGTGAAGAGAAGAGGAAAGGAGTGCGGAAAGGAAGGCTTAATATAGCGGCGGGAGTGGGTGTCAAGGATAACTTTGAAATTTGGCCGCCCGAGATGTCGGCGAAAGTTATGTGTTCTTACGCCGCTGCGTAATCCGTAATCTGGGATGATACATGTAGATCATGTAGCTTGGTGCGAGATTGCATGTTCTGCGCTTTCTGTATCTTGGGCGATTAGGGTAATTCTTGACTATGGCGGGGAGGATTAGCGCTTTTAGAAATTAAACCCCAGACATAAATTTAACTCCAGGAATGATTGTTTAACATTTAATCGATTCCGGCCCTGACATGACGATTTTCACTTGTTCAGTCACTTCTTTGCAAGTCCTCCGTGGTCTTTATCAACTAGACTGCACACATTTATATATGTTCTATTTTTTATTTGACCATATCTAAATGGGTGGAATACCCTCCTGAAATCCACACCTCACACCCCACATTTACACTACACTACAAGCCCATCCCCAACCCCCCATGGCCAACAAATCAAACCAGAGGGCCCACCGGCACCTTCGGCAAGTACGGCTCCTCCAAATACTTCGCCTCCTCCTCAGTCAACTTGAAAGACAGCGACTTCACCGCCTCCTCAATCCTCTCCACACTTCCGAGCCCCACGATCGGGCTCGCGCCCTTCGACAGCACCCACGCCGCCGCCACAATCGCCATGCTGATGCCGTGCTTCTTCGCAATCTCCTCCACACGCTCAGTGATCACCTTGTCGGCGTCGGATTCCTGTTTGCGGCTGTGCTTGAGCCAGTCGTCGGTGGTTTCGCGGGCGGTCTCGCGAGAGTCGAAGGGGCGGGTGAGGATGCCGCGGGCGAGGGGTGAGAAGGGGATGATACCGACGCCGGTGGCATTGCAGTAGGGGATCTTTTCACGCTCTTCCTCGCGGTACTGTGTGGGGGGTTAGCTTTTTTTTTTTTTTTTTTTTTTTTTTTTTGGCTGGGTTGGGGGGAGTGCAGGATGGGGTGGGGTGGGGAGCACGTACGAGGAGATTGTAGTAGTTTTGCATCGAGATGAACTTGGTCCATCCGTTCTTCTCGGCGATGTTCTGGAGCATCTGGAATTCCCAGGTGAAGATGGAGGAGGCGCCGATGTAGCGGACCTTTCCGCTCTCGACTACATCGTGGAGGGCTTTCATGATCTCTTCCATAGGGACATCTCTGTCCAGTCTGTATAAGTTTCACCCAAAATATATCAGTCTACTGTTCAAGAGCACTGGCGGAGCAATAACAACAACCAAGCCGACTTACCGGTGGATCTGCAACACATCAATGTACGTCCCCAACCTCTCGACACTCGCATCAACCGCCTCCAAGATGTGTTTCCTCGATAGACCCTTGTTGTTCACCCACTCCTTACCCTCCTTCGGGTCCCTGACCCCGTGGCTCATATTATCTGGCACGCCAAAGTAGCATTTCGACAGAATCACGAGATTCTTGCGTGGGATGTTATATTTCTCGATCGCCTTGGCGATGATGCGCTCGCTGGCGCCGTTGGAGTAGACGTTGGCCGTGTCCCAGGTGTTGATGCCTGCGTCATAGGCGGCCTTGAGCAGCGGGAGGGATTCTTCCTCGTTCTTCACCCAGGCGGCCCATTGGGGGTCGCCGTAGGACATGGTGCCGAGGATGATGCGGGAGATCTTGAGACCGCTGGTGCCGAGTCTAGAGGGAAGTTAGCAAGAAGCTACGGGAGGGGCACACTGCAGTTGGGGTCGAGGTAAGTACCTTGCGTATTCCATTGTTTAATAGGGTGTTTAATTGGTTGGTTTTGTTTGGTTCGGTTTGGTTTGATTGAGTTTTCTGTTGATTGAAGCTTGGATGGAGTCTGAGATATCCAGCAAGAAAGGAGTCTACAACCCGACCTTATATAGACATCTGTAGACTGTGCTGCCCGGGGTTTATGAAAACCCGGACGTGTAACTCCGTGGTCAGTGCAATTAGTCATTTAGTCAAACGCATCTATACTTGTTACAGTATCTCAGCGAAGCGCATGGTTCTCCTGCATCACGAACCCTTGTCTGGGCATCTGCGTTTCAAATGGGAGGGGGAGAAATAGCACATATCGATCATTTCCCGTTGCCATTAACTTTACTATACACCCAAGCACTATTGATGACATCATCATCATGAGGCTGTACGGCATCATCGCCTGTCACTCGGGATAACTAAACCACTTTTGTGTTGCCAAGGACGGAAGATGCACCAGCTCGGTGACTCGCATGACACATCCCCACCTTTTGGCGACTTCTCCCGGATATTAAATTTGTGCCACTGCGGAGTTAAATGGAGTTGACGGTGGTAAGATCCAACACAGTAAGGAATAGAACACGGTCGAGCAGGAACGAGGCGGGTGAGAAGACTTATAGGAGTCATGAATATATCTATGCACTTAAATGGGAGTTTGGACAGGACGGATTGCTCTCTGACTCTCGTCTGGCCACGTTCAATACGCCTGTCCTGTCCGTCAATATTGGTCAATGGCCAATGGTCTAATCAATCTACACGTGCACGTGAACGCGTGATTTGTTCCGTGTCTCTGCCTCTGGCATGGAGAAGAGAAGCAGATTCTGAACAGTGGGCGGGGGGGAAACGCGCTGCATGTCTACTCGGCAAACATATTGTGTGTAGCCAGGATACTTTGGTCGTAGTTCTGACGGCTGCGCGCAAGTTAAGCTTCGGCCGGGGTGAAAGCCTAAAATCTGCTTCCAACGTCAGCAGCGGAATGTGTACCTACATGTATCTACGCTCACATACTCTACTAATTACAACGCGCGTAGATTCACGACACACGTCTCTGCTTTCGCCTAATCGGATTGATTTGCCTGTAGAGTTGAATGTGCCCTCGTCAAACTTTTACATACATGTACTCAGAACAGCCCTAGGGCTGTATCCCGTCATGTCTCTTTGTTCCGGTCGTGATCTGAGCTGTGAGAGTGGAATCACCACCATAGATCACTGCCAGACCCGGGTGATTTTATGTGACGCGGGTAACGGCAGAACCCCATTCCGTCCGTCGCCAGGAACCTGACCAGGCTCTGTGCAAGAACCTATTTTCCACCCGTTCCCGGTTTTCACAGCATGCACAGCACCTGGTCTTGAGAATGTGGGGTAAAGGGGAACAGGACAGGGGAACAGGGTTGGTCCTTGCGCACCGCGCAGTGATTCGCTGGATTCACGATAGGCGAGATAGGCGAAGACTGGCAGCGAACCTCATCCCGTCCCTGGCGGTGGCGCTAGGGCTAGGTCTTCTCGGCGGATACTTGACTTGTCTTGTCTTGTCTTTTCTCTCTGTATCACAGGCCGTGGGAGAACGGGTGGCTTATCGATAACACATGATCGACAACGTACCGCCACATCATCTGCCATCAGCCATCGCCCATCAACCTCAGCCTGATCGCCATCTCAGCAAAACCACCGTCATTCCTCTCAGCTCTCTCTCAGCTCCTCCTCCATCACTTCTACCCTTTCAACACCTTCCGGATGCTCATTTTGTTGTGAAATTCCTAGCCTTCTTTTTCCGGTGCCCCGTGTATCAGAGAATCACACGCCTAATAGCTCTTCAGGAAAGAACCCAAACTCACAGCTTGCTTTGTTCACTCCCGTCCATCGAACCAATCTCATCATGTCTATAAAGTGAGTTGTTCATTTCATTTGGAATGCCTTCACACAGGATATACAGGTCACTACGAGCTATTACGGGCGGATGGAAAGCTAAAAAGCCTCACAAATCCACAGCTGGGTTATGCTAGATGACAGAACCGAACACAACTTCGTCAAACTCCCCGGCGAAGAAGTACTCTACAGCTCTCCCTCACGCACAAGCTTCTCACTTTCCTCCTCCGCCGGCGCCAAGAAGCTCGCCCTCAGCAGCAGTTCCGGCATAGTCCACCTCACAAGCCAGCGGGTAATCCCCCCACTCTTTCACTTCTCCCAGAGGTCTGTGCTGACACCCCCGCCCAACAGATAGTCTACATCCCCACGCAACGCACGCGCGAGCTTGAGTCGTTTTCTTGCCCTATAAACCATCTTCACGATACACATGTTGCCGCGCCCTTTTTTGGCGCAAACTACTGGACCGGCGTTGTCCAGCCCGTTGCGGAGGGCGGCCTTACATGGGTTAGCTCGGTGATCGAGCTGAAGCTCACCTTCAAGGAAGGAGGCGCATTCGACTTCTATACATTGTTTGAAAGAGTTAAAGAACTATTTCTGCAAGCCCTGGAGTCTGCAAGGGATCAAGGGGGACCGATGGATAATGTACACCTGCAAGAGCTACCCCCCTATGAGGCGCCCCCGCCAGGAATCGATGAACCCGCAGGTTCTACGTCGCTAGTAGATGCCACAGCAAGCTATGCGAATGCGCCGACGGGCCCGCCGCCCGGATATGAGGAGGCGCAGTGGGAAAGCGTAGAGTCTGAACTACGGAGACAGACCAATAACGCTCGGTGAAGAAGAAGAGCCACTTAGTTGCCTTGTTTGAAAACCTCGAAAATACTTTTTTTTTTCCAGGATGGGTGGCGTTATGTTTGATTTTTTTTTGGTTTTCAATGCCTGTCATTATGAGTTAATGGGAACCTGAAGCTGCTTGTTTAATTTTTTTTTTTTTTTTTTCGCTTGCTGAATGCTTCTTCTCTGTACTTAAACTAGTTGAATGCAATATATTCCAACAGGCAAAAAAAAAAACCGGCAAAAAGTACTATTTCTAAGAGGGATACAAAGCCTTATTCTAGTCTCATTAGTCGTTAGTTTTCGCAACCCACGGTTATCTAAACCTGCTTCTCCTTGGCACTAATTACAATCTCAATAGTACTAATCCTCCTCTCCCTCATCGTAATATCCTCCATCTCCTCCTCTTCCACACCCTCCATCTCCTCCCCTTTCTCTTCCCCCACCTCTCCCCCCTCTCCCTCCTTCTCCACCTCACCCCCCCTCCTCCTCTTCCCCCCAAACCCCTCCACCTCCTCGCCCACCCTCACAACATCATCCACGACCGCCACACCCCCCGTACTAATCCGCACCACATAGGCGCCCTGAAAATACAGCGCCACCTGCAGCGCCATATCAATCGCCTTTCCCGACGCCTTGAGCGTCACATCCACACTCTTTACCTTCACGCTCTTGGTGGTTGCAGTTGCGCCCTTGGTGGTTGCTGCGCTCTTGGCATTTGCGGCCTTTTGGGCGTCGAGGAACTTTTGCGCGCGCTTGACGGCCGAGACGAAGGGCGTGCGGGAGGAGATGTAGATTGTGCGCGGCGGCTGGGGCGGGTGGAGGAGTGGGCGCTTGGCGGGGCGGTGTGCTGCGGGCGGGGCGGGGAGGGGAGGTTAGTTGGGTTGTGCGGTGGTGGGAGGAGGAAGGGTTTGGGGGGGGGGGGCTTACTGGGGGGGAGGGGGCGCGCTTTGGGGGTGGGTTTTGGTTTTGGCGGGGTGGAGGTGGTTTGCATTTTGGTGGTGGGTGTAGAGTGTGTAGTGGTGTAGAAATGGGAATTTGAGATGCTCTGGTTTGAAGGTTTGGAGGGTTGGGTTTAGCTACTATTTCCTTACTTTGCATGTTGCTTGGCGTGCATGGATCGACGGCAGGGGTAGGTCTGGGGTCTGGACTTCATGACCTCACTTCTAAGCTTCAACTTGAAGGTGCGGTTGTTTATATCTAGAAACGAACGTTTATTTATTTACTTCGTACAGAGTTTTCTACAGGCTATATGTAGTACTGTTACAAGAATGAGAGAGAGAAAGGAAGCGGGGGGAGGGATTCTATTTCCCTGTTTGGTTTTTGCATCTCAGATGCCCTATTATTAGTTGCTCCTTCCATTATTCCCTCGCGACAACCGCAGATGTGTGCCCAAATCCAAAAGAAGACCAAGAAAGGTACTCAAACAGAAGCGAAAGCAAGACATGCATGGGCCTGTTCAACCGCCCTAGACGCCCTTGAACCAAAGTAAAAAAAAAAAAAAAAAAAGTGGGGTAACGAATGTAATATAAAGACAGATCATATGCTCCACAGGTGCGAAACAAGTGGTAGCAGTGATGAAAGGGTGTGGCTGCTGTTGAACGTTTGCCAAAAATGAGTGTTTTTTTTTGTTGTAAAGCTCGGCGAAGGTGGATGCCTATAACGACATCTAAACTTGGTGCAACTCGTCGTTGCCGCATCTTTGCTCCTCGAAACTCGATTGAAAGACGCTCGAAGAGCTCACATAACGGCTGAAAAGGTTATAAACACTTTCTCCGGGATTGATAAGAATCTCTTGAGTGTCACGGCAGTTTGTGAAGGGCTTGTTGTCGTTATTGCTGCATAACAATAGATATTAGTTACTAAAACGGACTGAGAAAACAGATACAAGAAACTCACGCAACACGGAATTGGCGCAAATCGGCGTTGGGGATGTCCTTGACATTCAACCACTCAACAGTAAAACGACTAAATTCAGTTAGTAACTTTGACTGTAAAATTACAAAGCAAAATTTGAACTCACCCTCTCCAACGCTTATCAGACCAAATTCCAGTGTGCACTGAATGCTCAATTGCACTTGTCATTTCAGCAATTCCACAGAACTTGCCACTGTAATAGTATTAGACATCTGAGATTGGATTGAGTCGTGTCAAGTTGGCACAAAACTAACCTTCCACTAACTGAAAAAAACAAAAATATTGGTCCCTTGCGTGTGGGGTCACAAAAAGCTCTATCAAGTCGTTTGTTTCCAAGGTCGGTAGAGGTCCAGATGCCATGCTTGAGTGAGGCAAAAATATCAAGCTCACAGTTCGATTTAATTACGAAAAAACGACTCTATTTGAGAATTCATTGTTAGTTATAGTAAGCTATTTTTCATCTGATGAGCTCTCTCTTACATCTCGTGAAACGGGGTCGAGAGGCGCATTAAGGACACGGTCCATGCAAGCCCATTTTTCACTGATGGCCACTTGTAATGCCTCATGACCACGCCTGAACCCTTTATTCTTGGGCCCATGAACATCAAGCGTTTGAGATGTAGAGCTGATGTTCGAGTTGCTAAACATCTTCTGCGCAGGACTTTCGTCGACTTTATCACGGTGAACGAGGGCACTGAAATTTCTGCCCACTTGATCGCGCAGACTATGAGTGCTGGTATTTTTGCCGAATTGATCAAGCAGATTGTGAGTGTTAATGTTTCTGTCGACCAGATCACGCAGACTCTGAGTGCTAGTGTTTCTGTCGACAAGATCACGCAGACTTTGAGTGCTGGTGTTTCTATCGACTTGATCATCCAGACTCTGAGTGTTGGGGTTTCTTCCAATTTGATCATGCAGACTATGAGTGCTGGTGTTTCTGTCGAATTGATTACGCAGACTCTGAGTACTAATATTTCCGCCAACTTGATCATGCAGACTGTGGGTGCTAATATTTCTTTCGATTTGATCACGCAAGGTGAGAGTGCTGATGATGCGACCCAGCTTCCCAGCTCTTTGCTGCTCGTTGCGTTCATACTCATCCAGGTCCTCAATTAATTGTTTCCCGGACATCACCTTCATGATAGTTGGATATTGTGTCTCTGGTAAAGAAACATCTCCTACGAATACAGGAGGGGGGGAGGGAGGCGGGGAAGGGACAATCAAATGAGGTTTGATGTAATCGCAACCGATTGAGTTTTTCTGTAGATTGTCCTGTACAAAAGCATCAATTCCCCCAGGAAATAGCGAATCCACGAAAGCTTTGTCTTTGACTTTCTCGACTTCTTTATGGTTATCCAAACTGCGATTGGCTCTCGCTAGGCCAGTTTGGTGCCGAAGGCGGGGCCATTCCGGTTGTGTAGTAAGTTTAGGAAGAGGGCCTGAGTTTTGCCTCTCAAGATGAGAGTCTTGTTCTACTGTCTCCCCCTCATAGTCGTTCCAGATCTTGCTGGTGAACTGTTTTTTTTCGGATGATGAAGTTTGTTGCTCGGCCATTGGATTCATTGTAATAGAGTTGTCATCGTTGGCAAAGAATTTAGAACTAGGTCTTGAGATAGGCTTCTGCAAAGACATTGGATTCCTCTCTCGTAACATGACACCATCACCGTCAAAGAAAGTATTGGGGGTCGGGTGATAAGTCTTGGAGGAAGCGAGCCCATTATTGGAACTGGGACCGAGATTAAAGCGGTGCAACGGGGAATGACTTCCGTCGAAGAAGTTGTCCTTGTGGTGCTCCTCAGTGTGTGGTTGGGAAACAGTCCTTTTAGAACTGTGGAGCCCTTCAATAAAGTCGAGGGTGCTGGACTTTCGGTGCAAAGTCTGGTTAGGAGAAACCTCGACTAGCTGTGTTCCAAAGAACTGTTCAGGCTTTCGATTCGGAAGTTCGTGCCTGCGGCGAGTGCCATAATTGGTTATGGCGGCCATTATGCCTATCTATTATGAGCAAGATGCCCAAGAGAAAGTTGTTTCCAAGCTCGTTCAAACCACGTGTAGAAGATTGGGAGTTTTAAAGAAAATGTAGATGAGATGGATGGTGTGAGTAGGAGTTGGGTGTAAGAAACGTCAGGTGTGGTCAGCCCCCTTTGGTTGATAGTAAACAAAAACTGGTTTACCACACAAACTGTTTTGTCTCACGTTCATCTCCATACGAGCTGTTTACAGCTCACAATAGAGGCTAGGAGAAGGCCTAGTAGCTCTCAGTACCTTCTCGAAGTCGGTTTCCAGTCATGTACATCTACATGTAGTTTTGTTCTCATTCCCTATGTGTAGCCTACCACACCCTGCAGAGACAGTGAACCTTGGGTGTCTCCAGATAAACACCCGAATTCGAAGTGCTCTCTTTTAGGAGCCAGCATCTTCTCCTTCCTATCTCCGAAATATGTATATGCAATTGCGCTGTTTAAGCTTCCTATCTCCTACAAAAGGTAGCAATACGTACATGTATATATATACATGTATCGGAGTGGCTTTCCCCAAATTACATGTAGTATCAGCAGTTGCAAAACGGACGTATATATAGGTATCTACAGCAAGTTAAGTAAATTTGAGCTTCTGTCTTTTTGTAGAGATGCATGAAAGAACGATGATTGTGGAGACATACATGTACATGTAACCAGGAAGTTTTTTGTATGCTCAGGGTGATGTCGACCGAGTGATGGACAATACATGTAGCTACATGTATGAATGTTTACCATGCTCGGGGCAAATGCCCTTATTTATATAAATGAATGATAACGTTACATGTACTACATGCATATCTGGTTTCCACTTACTTGTCCCATTCCCTGTCCGATACGTGCAGCTTGTCGCGCCGCGTACATGTAGGCACTACTACCCGGGGCCACACGCGGACCTCAAGTGCTCTCTCCTTCTCTTCCTCCACTTCTTCAACTTCTTCGGCCATATCGTATCATCGCATTTCTTTATAAAACCATAGTCATCCTAAGAGATTTCATCTAATCATAGGTAGGCCGGTAAACTATTAGGTTAAATTATTTCTTTCATGACTCTTCACATCGTTCTTCTTCTTTATATTTATACTCTGGCATTTTTTACTTTTCTATATCTACTCACCCGCAGTGTTTCCTGTGATTCCACTATTGACTCCGAGCACAATCCAGTGACGCTCCAGAATGGCAATTGGACAAGCTCTCCTCACCAAACCTCCAAAGCCCAAGATCCCACAACAGCAACGACAAGATCAGGAGACCAAAAGATTAAATAATACTGTTATTCAAGAGCAGTCGCTCAAATTTGAGCAAAGCCTGGAGCTTGTTAGAACACTGCTCGGTGCTTCGGTGAGCCTGATTTCTCTATATTCCTGATTCAAGTAAAAGGCGATAAAACTAACAAGTCTTTTAAGATTGGGTGTCTTTCCTTCCTTCGGTAGGATGTATTGAATAAGAATATTTTTAATCCTAAACTTACATCTGAATAGTGGCCTTCTTCCCGAGGAATGTTTCGTTGAAAAACGTTATGGTGGAAGATCTTCGGCTGCTATGAGCTACAGCTCTTTTACTAGTGATATGGATGATGAATCTTTCAAGAAAAGCAATACGAGCTCTGGAACTCGAGTGAAGAGACTGAGGAGAGGTTATTCTGGGGAAGCAGATCAACTTTTAGATTGGCTCGTATGCGTGTTCCTCAATGTCTGAATGGTTATCTGAATACTTACTAAATTCCTTTCGAAAGGAGATTGGTATCTTTGACGCCCTTCAGAAAGGGTACCTTAAGGCCGTTCAGCTAGCCATTTATGTGGATAAAGAACACCCAGAGATTATAGTAGAATCTTATACTTTCTCTTTTTCCTATCGCGAGAAAGAAGATGGTACCTCCGCAATCAGTCTTCGTGTTACAGATATTAACGGGCGTGGAGTCACGGTGGAAGATGCAAACAAAAATCTCCAACTCATGATGAGAAGATTGATCGTTATTACTCAGGTAAGATCTCTCCTCCAAATACTGATTTACACATGATTTACATGAAAGGACCTCTTAGAATCTTCCTCCTCTCCCGGGTATGTGACCTGTTCTTTTATAATTTGGAAAGATCCCCGGCGGGCTTTTTGTACTTATCTGTTTCTTAGATCAACGTTGGCTTACTATCCGCCTCCATTATCTGGACCATACACCAAACGACTATAATCCACCGAGCTTTGTTCGTGTCTCTGCCAATGCGACCCCGCTCCAATTTCATGAAAACGATGCCAATGACATTGAAAGGCTTGAAGTTGGAAGCCTCAATGCCGGTTTTCATGCGTTAGTACATACTTTGGTCTATACCCATAGATTTTACTCTTTTTATATTTAACATTATTGCCGGCAGAATTTCTCTCAAAATATCAAGTGTGAACAATACCGGAAGCCAGGAACGCCCAAAGCGACGTCGTGGCTTAAAAACCATCCATGCAGATACCGACATAGAAGCACCATTATTCACAACCGATTCTTCACAAACCACTCCTAAAGACCACAGCAACACCACAGGTATAAGTGAAGCATCCGAGGGTCTGTCGAGCGGCAGTGGACAAGACAAAATTTCCGAGGAGTTGCCAGTAGCGGAAAAACGTCAAGCATCTGGCAGTGACAAAAATATCAAGAGACACCCTGTTCACCTCCCTCAAACTTCGGGAAGGGCTGGACGCAATACGCAAGAGAAAACACTCCTTCGTGGAATGCTCCGTCCAGCAGTCCGGGAAGATGATGTCACCGAGACCCAGCCACTTGCCGACGACCCTGGAGCAAGTGATAATCAAAATAGCCTTTTCGATACTGAGCTACTTCCGACGTCGCATTTTGAGACGCAGGCCGTAGACAGAATCCAGAATCCTATTCTTACCTCCGCTAATCCTACTAATATCTCCTCGGGAATTGTTCGCGCAGGAGTAGACCTAGTTCTATCGCATCCCCCCATTTCTGGTGAAAAAAGACTTTCACTAGGAGGATCGGACCCCACTATATCTACTCATCGACGCCAAAGTACCCGTATTTTACAAAAGGTTGACAACGCCGAGTCAGTTGATAAAACGGTGGGCAGGATAAAGCTTTCAAAGGTGAAGATAATCGAGCTAAAACTTAAGGAAAAAAGCAAAGGCATTCAAAATTCTTCACGAAAGAGCAGGACTATAGAAGGGGATGAATGGAAGGATGAAAAGCACGAAGATAGAATTAACTGTGAATGCGGTGACGATAAACCTGAAGGGAATATGATTTGCTGTGACAATTGTGATGAGTGGCAGCATACTGATTGTTATGGTTTTATTTCAGCCAAGGACAGCCGTATACCCGATCACCATGTTTGTTATAGCTGTCTTCTTGGGGCAAATGAAGGGAAACTTCTCGAGGAAATGCGGAACATGGCCCTGTTCAGACGGGCCTTGAAAACTATCTGGAGTGTGGACGTTTTCCCATCATCCAATAAGGTTTTTGCCAACAAGCTTGGTATGTTGTCTTTATTCCCCAAACCTGGGATTTATGAGTTGATGGTCGAGTGATAGGGTGTGATTTACCGACTGCACTTCAGATTACAAAGCGCTTGGAGAGCGAGGGATTCATCGCCCACGATGTTGCCAAATCAAAGCTTTGGAGAAAAAGGGCATACGAGATTTTGAAAACAAATGAAACGAAGAGCCTCATGGATGCTGAATATTTTGACCCTCTGAAAAAAATATCACATCATGTTAGTAAATTTCTTGATCCTCGTGCTATACTGTTTTGGACTAATGACAAAATTTAAAATTAAAGTTCAAAAATTCAGCAGCTGCAAATATCTCACACAAATCTCCTCTTGAGGAAATTCCATTGGTAGAGCCCCTCCCAGAGGCATTCCTAAATTCGTTGCAATTGATGGATGCCGGAATTCAGGACTCCCAAGAACTTGAGAGGGGTTTTGGAGAGTCAAATACCGCCCCTGCCCACAAGAGTAAGACCCGAGTCACTGATCATGATGCGGACTCTACCGCCGACGAGGAAGAAAATATGACTATCTTGAAACATACTCGGAAGGATATAACCCATTATGATAGGACTATAGACAGATTTGGAAACTCGGGTCGCTCTAATACCCGAGCTGATACCGCTTATAATACTTCGAAGCCCAAAACAAGAGCTCCTTTTGAAATTGCAGAATCTCCTGAACCAATGGAAATTGACAGTGTTGGGAAACCGCAAGCGCCCCTTAATGCAGATAGAGTTTTACCGAAAGCTATAAACCACAAACGACTACCACTAATGAACGTGGGTGGTGCACTATATGATATCTTTGTTGGTGAGGAATTAGGGCAGAGGGATTTTTAAAAGGAGGTTCGCATCTTGAGAAAGATGGTTGACCGTATACTTAGGGTAATATTTGGTGAGCTAGCGGCCAAATAATTGCAAACATCCTCAAAGCTACGCGACTTTAACTCCGATAAGCTACCGGCTTTTATTTTAGTTTCCTTTACAATGTACTTATTATAATAATATACGGTAATCGCTTGGGCTTTAATAAAAATGTATGAGCAGAGGTAGCTACAGGGTTTCCGGAGTGTATCAGATGTTATCAAAAGAATCGAATACCATCGGGAGAAGAAGTTTCTATTCACCCAGCGCTAGTATCATAACTTTTGTTAGCTTCTGGTCTCTGAGTCTATGAGGATACTTTATGGTCGTCACTATTAGTCTCTATGAGTGTCAGTAGTGCAATAGACGGCGTAAGCTACTAGATATCCGGTATATCAAGAGTGATATGTGCATATAAAGGGCCTTTTAATCGTACATTTCACTTTACCTTCGCATTCCCGTACCTACATAAAACAACCTGGGCCAAATGTGGCACGAGTGATGCTTCATGATTCTTCATGTAATTTACCCTGGTGCCGCATGTTTGCCTCTCGCCGAACCGCCTTGACCTGGTGAGTAGTTTGAAATTATCTTCATACAGGACGGGGCCCATATTGAAACTATCGGAGCGAAGACCTCTCGCCAGTACCCTCGCCCATTCAAGTGTTCTTTTTCTCTTTCCTTTTTCACATAGATCGGCGCTCCACGGGGAAGCAATGTGTGTACCCAATTTGAGTCTATGAAGTAGACATCCTGATCCTGAAATCGTATAGGAGTGGCACAATCTCATCCTCCTCTTGTCAGTGAAAAAAAAAGCAATAGCAATAATAAACAAAAAAAAAGAATTGTCTCGCAAAAACGCCAATGAAGAACCCGGCTCATATCGTAACAAGACACCAGCAAAATACAGCTGCCCCCACTAACGCCGGAGACTATCAAGTCTCGCTTGCAAATCATCATCCATAGCATCCGCACCGACAGCCTGTGCCACCTTGCCCTCTGTAACGCCGGGCGATGCGATACCGGAGGGTGTTTCGCCGAGCTGATGAGAACAAATGGGTCAGAACATTGGAAAAAGAAAAAGAGAATTGTGCGGAAATATGGCATACGGAATGGTTCATCTCAACGCCAATTTCGTCAAGCACCTGGTTGACTATCTCATCGCTCTCCATCTCATCGTCCAGACCCGTAACATCATCGATCGCATCATCCATCATTTCTTGTCTCTGCTCCATGATATCATTCTCTCTCTCAAAATCCATCGCAATGCGCTGGAGAGCAGGGAGATTCATGGAGCGGTTCATGGAGCCGAGAAGAGATGTTGCGCCTTTCATCGATTGCATCATTTGCTCATTTGAACGGACCGTTTGTATACGAAGTGAAACGGCCTGGAGTTGCGTTTTCATCTGGTAGAATTTTTGAATGTAGCTGCAGAACAAAGTCATTAATTTCTAGAAACCGTGGTCGTGATTATTGACACATACTTCCTTGTCCGGACGAGGTCTTTCGCTTGAATTTTACAAGCTCCCATCTGATTATTTTTTGCAGAGCGCTTAATATCCGCGATCAGCTTTTTCTCTTGCTGTTCGAGCTTTATGCGTTCTCTATCAAGCTCGCGTTGGGCTTTCTCGAGGGCTCTTTGGTGCTGTTTTGAGTTAGCGGTATAGCTTCCGATAAGGTGGAGAATTGCGAAATGACCTTCCGAAGCCTTTCGGCGGGTGTTTGGCGACGCCCAAATGCCCATTCTATAAGTCCACTCATGATCAGAGAAAAGTTGGGGTGGAGGGTCTCTAAGGTGTTTGTGGGGGGGGTTGTTGAAGGAGACGAGGATGCCTACGTCGGCGTTTCTTGCTATGGCTCAGAGGGCTGAACGAAAGCTTGGCGGTGATCCACGTGATTTCAAGACATCTCGTGATTAGTCAAGCATAGAATCTCTTCATTTCTTCTACTGGGATGAGGTTACGGAAGGTCCTCCCCTCGCCTATCTGACTCCCCACAGTCGACCTCAACCCCTCCATAGCATCTCCATCTCATATCTGATACCCTCTTGCCATCTTTTGGCATCTCTCAGTTCTTTCCCAGGCTCTAAAGAAACCCTTTTCTCTTTGAATCGTTGGCTCTCATTGCCGGAGGCCATCATGGCTTCTCCATTTCAGGTAGGCCTTATTATGCAGGTATGGTCAATTAAGCCTCCCCCAACGCCACCTTGTAAAAATCTCTTTTTCCCTTGCGCTGACAGTGTGTATCTCTTAGGGTCTGCCATCAATAAACTCCGGTTTATTACCAAGCGTAACAAAGGCCTTTTCGGCCACTTGGGCGCAACTTACGAAAAGTAGTGAGGCTTCGAAGAGGACCATTTATGCGCAAACTGCGCCCTTGGTTAAAGAAGAGGCTCAACATCAAAAGGTACGGGTAGCTCTTATCTACATATCCATTCGGGAATTGGTCATGCTGATAGTGGTAGATCAATGATTCTGTGGCGGAACTACCCGCTTTTCTCAAGGCTTACCCGGGACTACGCAACCAACATGTATTCCCAAGCTTCAATGGTACACCTATGCTCGCTGGTCAAATCCTACGTTCTGGTTTGTTCCCTTCCCTTGCGATATTACCTATTGCATTGCTGATCTAAATAGCATTCGGAAATTCTCGGGCTTCGGCATTCTCCACTTCAACTGGCGCAACTCGACACCTGACCTCTCCCCCGGCATCACCGTTCAACAAGATCCCACCCCCGGTTCCCAGGCTCCCAGGTCAATCTTTTGCTCGCGGGTTCTTATCGTTTTCCGGTCTTTCTCAGAATGCACTTTACCGCGCCGAACAAGCTGCAAACAACAACCCCCAGAATGCCGCCGCACAGGAAAAATTCTATGAAACGCTTCTCCGCGCAAATCTTCCGCAGTACGTTATCGATCGCTACCAAATTGGCCAATATGCAACTAGTAGGGCATGTGAGGATAAATACATCAAGGCACTTGAACGCACTGGTCAATTCGAAAAGGCACGCCTTGTAGCTGATCGCCGTGGCGATTTTGTTGAAAATCCTGCGCTGAGTGGTGAGGAAATTCAAGCTATTGGTCAGGCTGTTGCTGCTCAGAGCCGTGGTGGAAACTTTGCCATGTCACGTGGAAATGCAACTTCGGGCTACTCTGGTACTGGAGCAAGGGAAACACCGATTCATGTGGTTGTCGATGAATCTATCGGCGGAACAATCTTTAAGTGGATCAAGTTCTTGTTTTACTTTGGGTTAACAGCTTATTTCCTCCTCGTCTTCCTTACTTTGGCTATTGAAGCTACAGGGATGATGAAAAAGGTTGCTGGGACTAACTCAAACGAAGCACAAGCTGCCCAGCAAACCGCCCGTTTCAGTGATGTCCATGGCTGCGATGAAGCAAAAGAGGAACTACAAGAACTTGTGGAATTTTTGAAGGACCCTACGCAATTCTCTACCCTAGGCGGTAAGCTACCGAAAGGTGTCCTCCTTGTGGGTCCCCCTGGTACTGGAAAAACTCTTCTTGCTCGTGCGGTCGCCGGTGAAGCCGGGGTCCCGTTCTTCTTTATGTCTGGATCAGAATTCGACGAAGTCTATGTCGGCGTTGGCGCCAAGCGTGTTCGCGAACTATTTGCTCAAGCCCGCGCAAAAGCTCCTGCAATTGTATTCATCGACGAGCTCGACGCAATAGGCGGAAAACGTAATGAACGCGACGCAGCATACGTTAAACAAACTCTCAACCAGCTCCTGGTAGACCTTGATGGATTCTCTCAAAACAGTGGCGTCATTTTCCTGGCTGCTACAAACTTCCCTCAATTGCTCGACAAGGCACTTACCCGACCTGGTCGCTTTGACCGGAATGTTACTGTACCACTTCCCGATGTCCTTGGCAGAATTGCAATCCTAAAACATCATACCAAAGCTATCCAAGTAAACCCTACAATCGACCTCTCCATTCTTGCCCGCGGCACTCCCGGTTTCTCTGGAGCGGAGCTGGAAAATATGTGCAACCAAGCCGCTGTTCGCGCAAGTCGTCAGAAGGCTACAAGTGTCCGAATGGAAGATTTCGACTGGGCAAAGGATAGGATCATGATGGGTGCGGAGCGACGTTCTGCGGTTATCCCGCTCGAAGAGCGCAAAATGACGGCTTATCATGAGGGAGGACACGCCCTCGTTGGGATGTTCACTGAGGGTCACATGCCGGTCTACAAGGTAACCATCATGCCGCGTGGGCAGGCACTCGGTGTTACACATTTCTTGCCAGAAGGGGACAAGTATAGCTGGAGTAAGAAACAGATATTGGCACATATTGATAGTTCCTTGGGTGGAAAAATCGCGGAAGAGCTTATTTACGGTACTGATAATGTCACGGGGGGTTGTAGCTCGGTAGGTTTCTCTCTGGGCCCTATTCAGGAGTTGGTTACTGACATATTCACCAGGATCTTATGGCAGCCACCCGCTACGCTCGTCGTATGGTAATGGAACTTGGAATGTCACCTGTTGTCGGTGACGTTAATATGACAGAAGACTACCAACACCTCTCGACAAAAACCAAAGAACTAATTGAGACGGAGGTTCGTCGTATAATTGAAGAATCACGCGCCCGCGTAACCACTATCCTGAAGGAACACCGTAAAGAGCTTGACCTTCTTGCAAAGGCTCTCGTTGAGTATGAAAGTCTGAGTTATGATGAAATGAAGAAAGTCATCGCAGGCGAAACTTTACCCCACAAACTCAAAATCCTTCCAAATGTACCTATAAAATTGCCAGAGACCGGGGGGACCTTTGCTCCGCCACTTGAAGGGAGTGGAGCAGCGGCAAAGAACGGGGAGAAGGAATTTTAGAATGAACCTCTGAGAATGCAGTTACGAAGCCAAGTTTAATTCAGACTGAAGGTTTCTGTGGAGGTGGAATATATGTTTGGGGCTTTTCTTTTTGTTCCTTATCTGTTTTTGCATTGACATAGCATGGAATGGATTGGTGTATTATGTATTTGGTTTTCTTTTAAAAACCCACTTTTCCTCCGGTTTTCCCTCTTTTTCCTTCTCTTTTTTTCATTTTGTGTGTGTACTGGTTCGGTATGGTTCTGGTGTGGTTTCTTATCCTCTGCTTTTATTTTACCCCTGATAGAGCGCCTTGGATGTAGGCAGGCAAACTTGAAAGGAAAGAAAAAAACTCCTCTCAAGTTCTTATCCATGTTTCCTTCACTCGTACTTCCAAAAATGTACGTTTTTTTTTTTTTTTTGTGCTTGCCTGAAGAACCGATGGCGTTACTCGCGGGTTGGACTAATACGGATGGATGGGTGAGTGATGTGAATGACATGAGTGCAGTCATGGAAGAGCAAAGAATAGGATACTGTATGGATCCTTGATTGAACCTACCTAATTTTCATGTATGTAAGAAACATTGACAAATCTGAACTGCAAAGAAGCTCCTAATTCAAGAAAGGAGTTGAACTATGTGTTGCCTCCAACAGATCTAGATTCTCTGTCCTTTACTACTCTTTGTGCTTGAGTACATACTTTGTTAGTATCTTTCAAGCCTTTGCCGGAAAGGAACCGTTATGACATCATCACCTGCTGGTGAACACCGAGTGAGATTATATGATTCCAGCAAGAGTCATAAGCCAAAACACCCCCTTCCATAATCATGATACTTCCCCTTTTCTAACCTATGAATTCCACCCTTTCATTATTTTATGGATCTTTATAAATATCGAAGTTTCAATACATGTAGTTGTAGGTCCCAGTACCCTGAAGTAAGTACCTAGGACGTTGAAACAAGGTTTGGAGGCTGAAACGTCAGACTGCATTGGGCGGCTATGGTAACCTAGGGTCCGTCCAGATTCTGGGCACCTCCGGTAGTCAATATACGCCGGGTTGTGCACTACTTGTACCATCAGTTAAAACTGCACAACTGCAAACCCTGAATTATCCTTCGCTCTGGTCATAATTCATAGCTATGATGAAATCGAAAGCACTAATACACGTTATTACCTTAAGATAAGCGATTTTTGCAACAGGACAGATGGCTACCCGAATATGTAATTGGATTGAGCTAGTCTACATACATTTCGCGCGAATTTTGTGAAAATGAAGAAAATCAAAACCCATTCGATACTATGTATGTATATATATTGCTAGATATTGTGTTCTAGCTGCGGCGGTAAGGTGGCAACCTTACACATATGTTTCCGTCAATGCTCAGTATCCTCGATATCACGTACATACATGTAGTATGTACATTTGAGTGGTTAATTCAATTTCTCTCAGGCAAATACTTTGCGATATGTTGATCGCTCGCGATTAAATATATATCGCGCTCTCGACTAGCTTCATCTAAAACCTTTGCTTCATTATTCTCTCTTAATTCACATATCGAGTGATTATTCATGATCGTAAGTACAACATAGTACATATCGTTCTTACATGTAAGAACTAAAAACTAAATTCCCACACAAATATCTAAAACGATCAATATCCCATTTATTGCATATACGTGCTCAACATTTACTAAGATACTCTATTTCGATGCGAATTTCATTATTTGACAGCTCCAGAATTATAGAATTATAGCGATAAATGTTAAGGCATCCAAGAGTTCCCGTATGTCTATACTCTAGTTCTACCACATGACCATTATTTACCCACAATGAAATCAAAAAGGACTCCTGTAAAGGAGAAGGCCCACTTTCGAGTCTTGATATGAGCACTACAGTAATTAGAAAATTTGTTAGTATAAGTCATAATTTAGCTTACAAATATGGTTCCATGGCTCAGTTGGTTAGCGCGTGGTGCTAATATAGAAATATGTTAACGCCAAGGTCGAGGGTTCGACCCCCTCTGGAACCACTCATCATTCTCTTTTTCTTTTACTGGTTGACCTCTACATTTTGTTGTTTTGTGGTGTGGGTGTTTGTGGCTTCCACAATTCTCTCTCGATTTTGCGAGTGATATACTGTGTTCCCTGTTAAGACACCTTTTCGAAGCTAGCTGGTGCGGCCCCCACGTGGCAACATAAGTAATTCTAAGCTAGTAATAAAGAGGCTGACGCCCTAGGAACCCCTTTGATAAGTCCTGAAAAGTGAATGACTTCCTCACCACATGTGGCGACACTCTTTTTGCACTTCTCAACATCAATGAAACATTGAAGACCATCGAGCCGACCTTTCTGAGACCCCCACCGAGAAAATACTGAACGAGAAAAAGATTACAGACATCTGACGTATGTAAGGACTTCATGGAGTGACCCCAGCAAGAATAATCGTGCTTCTTTTCTGATGATAACTTAGCTGCCGAGTAATCCGTAGAAATCGGCCTTCAGAAACACAACTCCCCTAGACGATCTCTCTCCAGTTAGTACCAGGGGTACGTCTCTTCTTTGCCTCAGAAGCACATCTTCGTTCAGCGCCACTATCGCGAGTCCCTGCTGAGATTTCCAACGATTTAAGCCAGTGCTTCGCCCGCGTGATTTGTGAACACTGTGGCTTGGTTTCCATCTAGCGAGGCTTGAAACTAGGACGATTCCTTGTGAAAGCTGAAAAGCTACATGTGTTCTGTCTCTCTACGTGAGTGTGGAGCACCTATGTGAGGAACGGCACGATACCCCCCTGTGGGGGCAGTTTACATAAAGAGCATAATCGACTTTGCTGGCAAGAGATCACAGGAGCTACCCTGTTCACGCTTGCACTTATGCCGACATGGGAAGTGCGGTGCAGGTCTGGGGCGAGCTCGAGAAAATATGAGGTCTGTGCGTTTTGCCTTGAAAGGCCATGGGTTTGCCTACATGTAGATACAATGGTCTTATGTAACCCAGGAAAACCCATTATGGCGTTGTTTTCTGGTGGAGATATATCCCCGATGTCAACGCTTCTGAAATAACTGTGACCCATGGGAGTTAGCTAAGTCTTTTTCAATCTTGGCCCTCCTTTGGGGGAGATTTTTAAAACAGAAATTCTTACCGGGATGGTGATCGGGGTCTTCTGTTCCAATTCGCCGTCTTTCATTCGAGTAAGGTAGCAAAAGTATCTCCTGCCGGGCCGGTTTCTCTCTTTCTACTTCGCTCGGAACATTCCCCGGCTTGATTTTCTGAAAAGAACGTTTCGTTTTGGCTCTGTCCTCTTTCCATGGCTCTTTTCTAAAACCTAGTTGGAAATGATTTTCGTTTTGGAGGCGTCGGTCGGATAGGTGTCGGTGAGAGTTCCTCGTTCATTTGTCTTCGAATTGATCACTGATACTTTTTTCAAAACAGAACTATCTACACATATATCAAACCCGCTTTGACTGTTTGTCTCGGACCCACTACGAACATGAAATGGAAACAATAGCTCACCAATCACTTGTTCAAATCAACCCTAAGTCAAGACAATCCGTCGGTCTGGAAACGTTTGGAATTGCCATCGACAGGGCACTACAAGGCAGGTCCCGCATTTCAAAGTCAAGTCACCACCACGTGGAACTGTAACACGAAGCGGCTTTTTTTTCTGCCCTCAGCCCTAGACGCAAGGAAAAGGAGTTTGTGTCGACTACGGCATAAGAACAAAATCCAAAACATCTGCAAGGCCGCGTGAAACTCTTCAGAACCCAGGCCGTGATCGACATCCTACTTTAAATTAAATTATCCCACATATACCGGAGAAGAATTTCGAATTAGGTCTGATATGTAGACACATTTGGTACAGATCCATGGTATCAGATCTGCATATCCGCCCCCGCCCAGTGGGCGACGAGTGCTATTCTATGATGGCCCGTCACATTGGCCTGGACCCCCCTCCACCACCACTATCACTACCACAATCACTATTACCACTAACCCCCGGATGACGGATCGTAATGTCAACTTTCTAGGTTCTATCCTGCAAGAAAAGATGATCTCCGTTCCACTTTCCTATCAATCCAATGAGGGTTCATTCTATGATTAAGACACTACGTCTGCCCTACGTCCCCTTGTTTGGCTTTGACCCTCCCGGGAACGTAGGGCTCCCTCCCTTCCGTCTCCACGCGGCAAGGTGGTTGTTATCGCGCTACCCGATATACCTCGAAACGAAGGCAGAAAAACGATGCAAGTTATAATTGTTTTAATGCTGACCTGCAGTTTATACTGACATCTTATCATTGAGGCCCTCTGTTTCTGGATTAAGCCGTTGTTGAAACGGCCGAAGTGAGTGAGTACGTATCTAGGATATGCTTTGTGGAACTTGGATATATAGGATCCACATGTATACTATACTTATCTCCCCTCGAAGTGAGTACAGTAGGTACATGTAGATATGTACGCATCAGTATACACATACATGTACATGTATTATCCATGGACACGGCAGCCGTCTATCTAATAAGACCGACTTATATTTATTGAACCTCTTGTTCGTAATTTGACGAACACTCCACCGTACTGGCCGGGGCGTTTCATTGGTTCTCGGACATGCTTTGTAAATCCGATTGATAAAAGGAATTCATCTATTTTGTTTTGACCCATCTATTATTATAATTATAAAAAGATAGAGTGTTCACATCTGTATGTTTTAGGCTGAACGCTGCTGTTCGAAACGTTTCTTGCGGGCGGACGATGCAGCACGTGCGGTTTCACTAATGCGACGATCTTCATGTCCAACTGAAGGGAAACAGACAGCTACAGACAGACATACGCATAACATCTGCAGCTCCTGCATATATCACTAGAGTAATACAGATATTTGTTTACACAGCATCGGCGGTTTACCTAATGATGGGGCGTGATGAGAGTATAATAGAACGAGATGGTAATATTTCCCATGGTCTAGAAACCTGCCATGAAGCTAGCCAACTATTCTCTGTCTCTGGCTAGACATGAAAGCGCATATCT